TTCGGCAGAGAGCCCGCTCACGTCGAAGCAAGGCTGTCGCGCGCGCGCCCTCGGCGCAGGGCGCGCGCGTGCGCATGGTGGCGCCCGCGCGGCCCGCGGCGGCGGTGATGGACGCGTCGGACCTGATCGGGAACACGCCGCTGCTCAAGCTGAACCGGATCCCCGCGGCGGAGGGGTGCGTGGGCAACGTGTACTGCAAGATGGAGTCGCTCAACCCGTGCAGCTCGGTCAAGGACCGGATCGGGCGCGGCATGATCCTGGGGGCCGAGGAGGCGGGCCAGATCGTGCCGGGCAAGACGGTGCTGGTCGAGCCGACGTCGGGCAACACGGGTATCGCGCTCGCGTTCATCGCCGCCGCAAAGGGATACAAGCTCATCCTCACCATGCCCGACTCGATGTCCATGGAGCGCCGCATGGTGCTCCGCGCGTTCGGCGCAGACGTCGTGCTCACGCCCGCGGCGGGTGGCATGAAGAGCGCTGTCACTAAGGCGGAGCAGATTTGTAGCAACACTAAGGATTCGTTCATGCTGCAGCAGTTTGCAAACCCGAACAACCCGAAGGCACACTACGAGACGACCGGGCCGGAGATCGCCAACGCGATCGACTGCGACGTGTTTGTGTCCGGTGTCGGGACTGGCGGGACCGTGACCGGGGCCGGCAGGTACCTCAAGGAGAAGAACCCGAATACGTACGTGGTGGTGGTGGAGCCCGTCGAGAGCCCCGTGCTGTCTGGCGGGAAGCCCGGGCCGCACAAGATTCAGGGGATCGGGGCGGGCTTTGTGCCGGCCGTGCTGGATACATCGATCTACGACGAGGTTGTGCAGGTGCCGTCCGCCACGGCGATCGATATGGCGCGGCGTCTTGCCGTTGAGGAGGGTTTGCTGTGCGGGATCTCGTCTGGGGCGGCTGTGATTGCGGCGACTACAGTGGCCAAGCGCCCTGAATTTGCGGGTAAGAACATTGTGACTATCATCCCCTCGTTTGGAGAGAGGTACTTGACGTCGGCCCTCTTTGACAAGCAGCGTGAAGAGGCGTACGAGATGAAGGCCGAGTAGAGAGAAATTCGTAGTGAGAGGAAGTGCGGGCCTATGTAAGGGGTTTGCTGGAGGGATAGGATATCGTACCGCTTTTTTTTTTTGTAGCAAAAAGGGGGGGTGGGGGAAGCGGGCAGGGTGGTTGAGTTGAGCTGGGCTGAGCTGAGCTGAGCTGAGCTGAGCTGAGCTGAGATGAGATGAGCTGAGATGAGCTGTGAGAGAGGGACGTGTAGGATGTGTGTAGAAAGTGGTAGGGCGGGGAGGGTGTTGTACTGTATTTTGCAGGATGTCATAGTGGATGGTGCTGGGCGCTTCAATCACGGTAAACGCCTTTGAACATGTCGCTGCAAAAGATGTATGTACATTGTGTGGTGGTAGCGTCCGGCGGACATGTGAAACACTATGGAACAGCGATGACGCACGGCGGCATTCTCCTCATGGATGGACGACATAAACGAACGAGACAAACGCATACGTGTACGGTAGATGCGCAAAAAGAAAAGGACGGTCGCCCAGTCGTTGCGCGCTGCCCGCTGGTGTCGTTGCGCGCGCAGATGTCGTAGCCCGCTGCCGTCGTAGCCCGCTGCCGTCGTAGCCCGCTGCCGTCGTAGCCCGCTGCCGTCGTTGCGCGCTGCCGTCTTCTCTTCCGGCGCGCCCCCCAATGGACCGCGTGCAACTGTAAAACGCGGCGTTCAACGCTGGCGGCGCGGCAGCCGCACAAGTGCTGGCGTGTGGGCTCTGCGCGGACCGCGCCGTGCCGGACGTCCCGGGCTTCGCGCGCCTGTTCCTGGCGCTGCATGGCGCGGACGCGGCGCAGCGCGTCGACCATGCAAAGGCGCTCGTCGTGCGCTGGGAGCACGCGGGGGGGTTTGACTATGTTGAGGCGCTATGCGCGGCGGCCGACGTCATCGGGGAGGACGGCGATCGCGATATGGCGGAGGACTTGCTGACGAAGGCTGTGCGCGTAGCGGGCGAGACGGGCAATCAGC